GGATCCTTTGTAAAAATATTCTTTAAAAATCCACGCCTTTTGGTCTGTGGATCCTTTGTAAAAATATTCTTTAAAAATCCACGCCTTTTGGTCTGTGGATCCTTTGTAAAAATATTCTTTAAAAATCCACGCCTTTTGGTCTGTGGATCCTTTGTAAAAATATTCTTTAAAAATCCACGCCTTTTGGTCTGTGGATCCTTTGTAAAAATATTCTTTAAAAATCCACGCCTTTTGGTCTGTGGATCCTTTGTAAAAATATTCTTTAAAAATCCACGCCTTTTGGTCTGTGGATCCTTTGTAAAAATATTCTTTAAAAATCCACGCCTTTTGGTCTGTGGATCCTTTGTAAAAATATTCTTTAAAAATCCACGCCTTTTGGTCTGTGGATCCTTTGTAAAAATATTCTTTAAAAATCCACGCCTTTTGGTCTGTGGATCCTTTGTAAAAATATTCTTTAAAAATCCACGCCTTTTGGTCTGTGGATCCTTTGTAAAAATATTCTTTAAAAATCCACGCCTTTTGGTCTGTGGATCCTTTGTAAAAATATTCTTTAAAAATCCACGCCTTTTGGTCTGTGGATCCTTTGTAAAAATATTCTTTAAAAATCCACGCCTTTTGGTCTGTGGATCCTTTGTAAAAATATTCTTTAAAAATCCACGCCTTTTGGTCTGTGGATCCTTTGTAAAAATATTCTTTAAAAATCCACGCCTTTTGGTCTGTGGATCCTTGTAAAAATAGTTTTTTTTAAACCCATATCTATTGTTCTTTTTGTTCTTTTGTTTGTCCAACACTTCATTTCGAACACGCAATTTGAAAATAACAATTATTGGCATGTGGTAGAGCAACTATTGGAGTACTACCTTCATGGATTCATGACGGCTAGATTGACCGCCCAACCGAGCGACAACTGATTGGACTAATCAAACAAATGAGGCACATGGGCCAACCAGCCAACCGACCAGACCAGCGCCATGTAACCAAAACCCTTATTACAGAATTTGAATAATGACCTCGAAATTCGGTGTTCCTAAATGGTTATTTAACGCTTCATAGACTTTGTGGGCCATTAAACGCATGTGTGTATGTGTGTGTGTGTGTGAGAGTGACATCATTATATGACAGTAAATTTCATTCACTGTTCCATTCATTGTTCAATAATGTATACATAAGGGATCGACGCACACACAGTCTATTCCGAGAGGCTATCATGATGTATATATTACGAGTATTGGTTGAAATTGATGTATTCAATTTTATTATTTTTTCAATACTAAGTCCAAATTTAGATTAGGCTAGTTTACTTGCGGCAAGTCTTTGTTTGTAGGAGAGAGGGGCAAGGGGTATAGAAATGAAAAAAAAAAATTGTTCGTACCGACAATTTTCTGGCAATTCGTTTTGTGTATTTCGTATTTGTTGACATTTTATATATATTTAAATGTGAAAAAACAACAAATAAAAAAATTTTTTGGAAACCGAATTGCCTTGTATAGACGCATGGAGCAAGTTCAAAAGAAAACGATAAAAATCGCCTAATATAAATCAGGACTAACATTTTCGTCAATAAGTGAAATTTTAATATATTAGTCCTATTACTCTATTAGTCCTTGTAAAAATATTCTTTAAAAATCCACTCCTATTACTCTTTTTACAGGGATCCATCGACCACAAGGCGTAGATTTTTAAATAATATTTTCACAAGGATCTTTGAACCAAATGGCGGGGATTTTTAAAGAATATTTTTACAAGGATCCTTGGACAAAAAGGCATGGATTTTTAAAGAATATTTTTACAAGGATCCATCGACCAAAAGGCGTGGATTTTTAATGAATATTTTTACAAGGATCCATCGACCAAAAGGCGTGGATTTTTAACGAATATTTTTACAAGAATCCATCGACCAAAAGGCGTGGATTTTTAAAGAATATTTTTACAAGGATCCATCGACCAAAAGGCGTGGATTTTTAACGAATATTTTTACAAGGATCCATCGACCAAAAGGCGTGGATTTTTAACGAATATTTTTACAAGAATCCATCGACAAAAGGCGGGGATTTCTAAAGAATAATTTTACAAGGATCCACAGACATAAGGCGTGGATTTTTAAAGAAAATTTTTACAAGGATCCGCAGATCACAAGGCGTGGATTTTTAAAGAATATTTTTAAAAGAATCCATCGACCAAAAGGCGTGGATTTTTAAAGAATATTTTTACAAGAATACATCGACCAAAAGACGTGGATTTTTAAAGAATATTTTTACAAGAATCCATCGACCAAAGGCGTGGATTTTTATAGAATATTTTTACAAGGATCAACAGGCCAAAAGGCGTGGATTTTTAAAGAATATTTTTACAAAGATCCGCAGATCACAAGGCGTGTATTTTTAAAGAATATTTTTACAAAGATCCGCAGATCACAAGGCGTGGGTTTTTAAAGAATATTTTTACAAAGATCCGCAGATCACAAGGCGTGGATTTTTATAGAATATTTTTACAAGGATCCATTGACCACAAGGCGTGGATTTTTATAGAATATTTTCACAAGGATCCATTGACCACAAGGCGTGGATTTTTATAGAATATTTTTACAAGGATCCATTGACCACAAGGCGTGGATTTTTATAGAATATTTTCACAAGGATCCATTGACCACAAGGCGTGGATTTTTATACAATATTTTTACAAGGATCCATTGACCACAAGGCGTGGATTTTTATAGAATATTTTTACAAGGATCCATTGACCACAAGGCGTGGATTTTTATAGAATATTTTTACAAGGATCCATTGATAACAAGGCGTGGATTTTTATAGAATATTTTTACAAAGGATCCACAGACCAAAAGGCGCGGATTTTTATAGAATATTTTTACAAGGATCCATTGATAACAAGGCGTGGATTTTTATAGAATATTTTTACAAGGATCCATTGACCACAAGGCGTGGATTTTTATAGAATATTTTTACAAGGATCCATTGACCACAAGGCGTGGATTTTTATAGAATATTTTTACAAAGGATCCACAGACCAAAAGGCGCGGATTTTTATAGAATATTTTTACAAAGGATCCACAGACCAAAAGGCGTGGATTTTTATAGAATATTTTTACAAGGATCCAAAAGGCGTGTAAGTTTTTAACTGTTTTTAGTAATTTCAGTAGTGTTGGCGGTTTATTTGGGATACCGTTTGTATTTTGTTTTTGCAAAATAGTCAGGCTGAATCCCAGCTTGTTGTTTTTCTAAAAAACAACTATTTATTAGTGGGGAATGTATGGCATTGTTTGCCGAGGGGTAAGGCAGGGAAGACTATAGTTTCGGATCACGCCACTGATCCTCATCAGTTCCCTTAGTTTTTTGTTGGGATATTCTCCCCAGAAGCTATTGCTTCTATACAAAAAAACTTTTCATACCCAAATGTCTCTTGTAACAATGCGAAGTACTTAGCTGACCAACGACATAAACTGCATGAGAATTTCGCTGGAGCCTCACTTCGAGGTTAACAAGGCATTTACAAACAATACCACACCTTTAATTCCCAATACTTACCTCCAAATACATAATTGAACATCCAATCAGGGTGATTAGCAAAAATATCGGACTGGCCACTTTGAAGACCTTCATCTTCCTGTGATGAAACAGATATCCGGCCAAAATGCAGCAACCAATTGCACATGCCACCGAAATGGTTAGTAATGATATTCTGCAAAAAAATGAGATAAAAGAAATTTTGAAAAAATAACCGTTAAAGTAGATTTTTATTATCACACCATTCCCACCCCTCCTTCTTCTTCATCGACAACATCTTACAAACCACAAGGTAAGTTCGAAGATGTTGCATGCCATCACGTTCACGTACTCACCTAAAAGGCCAATTGTAATCGGCCAAACATGGTTCGGGTCCTGTACACGATTCACAGCCCGGTGCACACTTCAGACAAGTGAACACTTCGGCATAGTAATTGCTAATATTATCCTGATGTTCTTTCCAAGCAATTTCCATAATGGTGCCATTAAAGCCATCTGGATGTCGTATCGAATAGTAGCCGCGCTTGCACAGGCATTGATAGGCACCACGTGACCAAGTGTTGGGTGTTGCCAGTATTTTACTTGTTGTTATTGTCGGTGATTCCGAGGTGGGTAAACGATAATCACACTTTTTTATTGTAGTTGTTGTTGGGTTTATTTTAGAGTTTTTTTTTGTTTGCCGAAATAGTTGGAAAAATTCGAGGGTGAGAGAAGGGAAGAAAAGAGAGTAGAAAATGTGATTAGAAAGGTCAAAGTGTATATATATATATATATATATATATTCTGCTTCCACAAGATTATCAGAATAAAATTCTTTTTCGATTTTGCCTTGCCCCTCTGTCCGAATAGTTTTCAATTTTTAGTACAGAGTTGTGAAATGTTGCATATGTTTTGCTACTACTTGCAGGATGTTTGGTATTGAAAAATAGATATTTCGGTCCACGTGTCACATAAGTGACAATATCACCCCCACTGTGCAAACTTTTCCTTTCTACCAAAAATCCCAAAATTCCAACCTCTCTTCCGCTATCCTCCTATTTCTCCTTCATCTATGAAAAATTGTTAATGTAGCAGAAAATTTTAGCACCCGAAACCTCACTGTCGCTTCCCGTGTCTGTCCTCGTCTGCTCATCACTTACCACCATTGTGTCACGATGACATTTATGCGACTTATGAAACGCTTGAATATCATTTATAAATTCTGTTGACTGGGCGCTAGTGTCGAACCAGATGAAGACGCCGTGTCTGTATCTGTTGATAATTGAATCGATC